AGGGTTTCTCCGTGGCTTTGGAATCTGTCCTGGAACTAGCTCTTGTAGACCAGGCTGGCCTGAACTCACAGAGATCCGCCTGCCTCTGCCTCCCGAGTACTGGGATTAAAGGCGTGCGCCACCACCGTCCAGCCCCAAAACTTTTGTACATCCCAGGGAAACACTCTACCAAATGAGCTTGGCCCCCACCCCCATTTCAACCCTTTCTGAGTGTACAATGTCATTCCACACATTTAAAGTGTTGCAACCATTCCAGAGTATTTAGTTATTTATTCTTGGCATACACAGAGTCTTGTTATGGGACCCAGGCTAATCTGGGACTCACCATCCTCCTGCCTTAGCTTCCTGAACATTGGGATGGCAGGTGTGCTCTGGCATGCCCAGCCACGTTTGTTTTTTGAGGCAGGGTTGCACTTTGTAGTTGGGCTCACTTAGAACCCGTTATGTGAATCATGCTGGCCTCAAACTCTGAGATCCGCCTGCCTCTGCTTCCTGAGTGCTGGGATTAAAGGCATGTGTCACTAAGTCTGTCCTCAGCCATGCTTTGTTTGTTTTTAAATTATTATTTCTTATTGTGTATATACATGACGTATGTATGTGAGCCAGTGTTTATGTGGTGTTCATAGGGAGCTTTGTGGAGTTGGTTCTCTCCACCTTCACACAGTCTGGGGCTTGAATTCAGATTGTCACACTAAGTCATCCACTGTCCTGCCCAGCTATTTGTGTTGTTTTGAAATGAAACGTTATATCCTTTAAGCAAGAAAACAGTACAGGTTAATAATAACTGCCTGTTCTCCCCACCCCACCTCCAGCTCCTGGCAGCCTCTGTTTCGTCACTATGATTTTTTCATTCTCTAGTATTGCATGTAGATGGGACCATAAAAACAATATTTATTCTTGTGTCTGGCTTATTTCACTTAGCATAATGTGAAGAATATGTGTATCTGTGTTACACACATAGTAATACTGCTTTCCTTTGGAGACACTGAGTTGGATCAACATTTTACAGACAGCAAATGCACCTGAGATGGTAGTGGTATAACTAGTTTTAGTGCCTCTGTCTGAAGCCCTTGCGAACCAGCAGGCCCTCCTATGTAGTGTGTACCTGCTTCTGATTGCAGCCTTTCATGGTTTTCTGTGGTTTTCCAGGCTTCTGTGTCCTCATAGTTGTCTCTCTAGTGGTTTTCCATTCTGCTTTGGCTATTCTGACTTGGTGATGTGCAGTAGGCACTCTTACTCTGTGCTCTACAGTAGCCCAGCCGAATTTCCCGTGTCTGTATCTCTTTCAAATGGGATTTTGACTCTGAGGGTAATGGCTGGCCAGAGTAAAGGCCACCTGTGTTGTCCTGAGGTCTGGGGACATGAGTGTGTTGTGCTTCCACTGTTTCAAATCTGGGTGCTTGGGAGGCAGGAGGAGGGCTTTCCAGCAGTCCCAGAGTGAGAGTGCGTGGTCGCATTACAGGCCTGCACCTGCCTGTATTTTGGTTGCCTCCTGGTTACTGTGGAAGCAGAAGAAAACGGGGAAACACTGTGTGTGTGTGTGTGTGTGTGTGTGTGTGTGTGTGTGTGTGTGTATGCATAAATGTGTCTGTGCGTGTTTGTGTATGTATATGTCTGTGTGTCTGTGCTTGTGAGTGTTTACATATGTCTGTGTGTATGTATGTGTCTGCATGCAGGTGTATCTATGTGCAAGTACCTTAGTATCTGTGTATGTCTATGTGTGTGTCTATGTGGGAGTGTGTCTGTGAAAGAGCATGGATGTGTGCGAGTGAGTCCATGTGGAAGTGTATCTACTCACGGCAGTGTGTCTGGGACTGTGTCTATGTGTTGGAGTGTATCTATGTGTGAGGATGTGTTTGTATGAGAGTGTCTTTGTGTGAGTGTTAGTTTGTAAGAGTGTACGGGAGCAGGAACTACCACTTTGAGATTCTGCTGCCATTTGTACAGGCAGCCTGAAAGCCTGCTCTGATGCCAGCACAGTCTATGGCTGGAGGCACAGCCACTACCAGCTGACGACAGAGCTCCCGTCGCATTTTTGCTTGGCAGATTTATTTTTGCTAAGTGCATTATTATTCTTTATGAGCTCAGAATTGCAGAAATCCAAGGAATCTGCCTCTTGATTAAGCTTCTTGCTGAAACAAGCAAGAGACTGTTGACTCTAAATTGAGGGGAAATCTCAGTGACCTCTCCCTGCCTGTGACCCATCCCCCCATGGAATTCCAGGAAGTGTGGGCAGTAACCCTGGGGGCTCTGACCCACCAAGCACAGGGATCTGACTTTTGCTTCCTGGAGTCCTGCTCCCAGTTGCCTCCTCCTACAGCCAGGAGCCTCTGACTTACCTTTGAAGAGTCAAAGGGACTGACCTTAGAGAATGCATTAGAGTCAGGCCAGTTGACACCTGAGTGGATCCAGCTCCTACCCACCCTGTGATCCTTCCTCAGTCCAGATCCTTCCTCTGGGCTGGTGGCCTCAGTGGAAAAAATGCATTAGCCAGATAACGCCCTTCACCTCTCACTCAAGTCACATCTAGAATAAGAGTATCTGTTCCGCCAACCCGCTTCCCTTCCCACAGAAGGCTGTCCTGTCTGCTTTACCACCTCTGAGAGGAGTGCATAGTGTCCCAAGAGCCTGGACTTTTGGGTCATTTAACTCGATGTCTCCTCCCCCAGTGGCCTGCAGAGATGAGGACAGGCCCCAGCTGCGGTTGTCGCTCCCAGGCATTGACTCACATTCCTCCAGATAGCCATGGCCATTTTTGGAGGGGCAGAATTTAGACTTTGGAAGTAACTAGAATTTAGCTGAAATTCCTAAGTGGAACCAGTGACACTGTTTTCATTTTTAGAAGTTTTGCCTGTCGACTGTGTAGTGCAAAATAGCCCAAGTGGGCTGGAGAGGTGGCTCAGTGGTTTAGAGCATTTGCTGCTCTTGCAGACGACCTGAGTTTGGTTCCCAGTACCCATGCATATCCATACACAGACACATACACAAGTACATATTTTTCAAAAAGCAGTGCAAGTGAGTTCTGGAGCCAAGATCCCCAACAGATGTTGCCAAATGCACATTACCACTGTGCAGGATCAATGGCTATTTATGGTGGACTGTATTAGCTGCACAGCTGAAGTACCTTTTGGCTCTCTTAATGCCTGGCCCCACTTTACTGCTGCAACCTATCCAGGTCTGGGGGTTTATTCTCTGTGATGTGGTCTTGGTATAACATGTATCCATGTGAACAGGCTTTCTCTGGTGTTAGTGTGCCGTCCTTGAACCCTCTGCACAAGCATGAGTTTGAAGCCCCTCCTGCTGTGCCCAGCCCCCAGCCCCAGGAGCCACAGCAGGTTAGCCCTTATTGTACAGCCACCAACTACGTATCCCCCAGTGCAAAGGGCTTTCTGTCTATAAATGGCAGCTTTATTCTTGGTACCTCCATCCCAGAAGACCCAGAGCCCCACTCCCCACATTGGGATGCTTTGGGAGTAGGAATGTGTGAGGTGTGGGAGCTGCAGTATGTAAGGACCTAGCTTGTGCAGTGGTCCTGATCTCAATTATGGAACCTGGGCATCTCCAGCTCTGGGGATAGGGCTGGAAAGGCTTATTATGTTATTGTGCCTTGTGAAGTTTCCTCATTCCCTCATTCTAAGGAAAGGCTATCAACTGCCCAGAGCCACCATGCCTTTGTTATTATAGTTCTTAACTGGGTATCAGCCCTCCTCAGCTCAGCAGGGGTGTACCAGCGGAAAGCTGGCTAACAGAATGGATGGCTGCTGTGCTTGCAAACATTCTCCAGGAGTTCCTGCCATTTGTGAGGCTGGTCTGGGGCAGGGCTGTGTCAGCATCTGAAGAAGCTATAGGCACAACAGCTCTCTCTGTGGAGGTTGGAGCCACTCCCTGGACTCAGACCCTAGCTTGAAGAAAGGGTTTGGGCCTCCTTTCCACCTGGCTACTAGGTGACAGGGGACATAATTTATTGGGTACTCCATGGAGTGATACAAATCACCTAGTTGTTGTTTGGGGACAGTGGGAGATGAACACAGAATTAATGTCACTCAGTTTACATATTTTATCAGGGGTTTCAGACATAGCTCTGTTGGTATAGTGCTTGCCTAGCATGCATACAGCCTTAAGTTTAATCCTCTGCACTGCATAAACCAGGCATGGTGGTATATGCCTGTAATCTCAGCACTTGGAAAGTAAAAACAGGAAGATCAGGAGTTCAAGGTCATCCCTAGACACATAATGAATTTGAAGCCAGATTGTGATACATGAGACTGTCTTAAAAAAAAAAAATGATGAAAATTTATCCCATGTTTTAGAGTAGCCAGGCTCAGACAGGTACTCTGTGGAGGTGGAAAGGAGGCCCAAACCCTTTCTTCAAGCTAGGGTCTGAGTCCAGGGAGTGCTCTGAGGAGGTCTTCTGCTGCACTGTGTGTGCTGAGTCAGGAGCAACATTAGCATTGTTATTAGACATTGCATTGCCCTGATGCTTTGTCCATTGATTCTGCTACCAGTGCCTTTCACGTGGCTGGGAGGAGGGAGGTACAAGTTGTGACTGGCTGTGTTCTTTGCACAAGTTGCCAGAATACAGCCTCACAGAAAGCCTGCAGGGCATGTGAGCCCTTCACAGAAGCAAGGAAACAGGTTTAGACGGCTGAGTCTTCACGCCAGATCATAGTTTGGCCTGGTTGGGCTGAGACTTGACCCTGTTTTTGCTGAGGACAGTAGCCCCATCCCATTTCTTGAAGGGTGAGTCCGCTGAGGTCTCGCTAAAGATGCCTGTGTGGCAGGAGAGGACCAGAAGCCTGGGCTGGTTAGGGTTAGGGTTAGGTTTAGGTTTAGGGTTAGGGTTAGAGTTAGGGTTAGGGTGCCAGCCTGGAACTGAGACATCTGGGTTTTTAATGGAGCTCGAGTTGTCCTGTGTGGGGGTCCCTCGTGGCTCTGGATGGATATCTGCACAGGGTTGTCAAAGTTTGGGCCTCAGACTTATTCTTGAATTTTTATTTCAGGACATAACTTGGCAAGATGAGCACTCGGCTCCTTTCTCCTGGGAAACAAGGGTAAGTTGAATGAAATTTAGATGTATTTGTCCCTTTTGAAAATATATGAGTACCTGTACATTTTCTTTCAACAGCTGATGCGTACAAAGGGCTCTATGTGGTCCTTAATGCTGGGCTACAATTGACAGCCCATGCTGATAGGACAAAGTGTGTGGTGGGGCTTAGGTCACTGAATCTGTGTATGGGTCCCACAGTGTCCCATAAGTTCCCTGGTGAGTTCCAGCCATCTTGGGTGAGGGTTGCCCTGTCAGGCACTTCTTCTTTATACTTTAGCCTACCCATCAGTATTTGTCCCAAGTGGATGCCCCTTGGGACAGCCTAGAGTTCCTGGTTAGATGACTTTGGTTGGTTTGTGTGCATGCACACATACACAGACACACATGAACACATGGAAATGGACCCTCGTCTTCCAGTCATTCATGTCCTGGTTGTCGTCACTGCCAGAGCATCAAGGCAGACTTCAGGCCATGTCCCATCTCCCCTATTGTCTAGGAGAAGGACCTTAGTACGCAGCAAGACCACAAAGAAGCAAGTGCCCTATAGCTGAGGAGAGGTAAAAGGCCACGAATTTCAAACTCTACAACTTTCCACGTGGTGGTGTTTCTGCAGAGGAGACAGCTGTGTGTGGAATGGGCTTTCAGGCACAGATAGTTTAGAAGCCTTGCTTCTTAATTTTTCACTGTTCCCCACTGCTTCTGATGATAGCTCTTGTCCCAGCTAACCCTGGCACCCAGGGGACCTGTGGAGAGGGAGGTTCAAGGTTGGGGAACATTGATGAAGTCCCAAGGGACCTTGAGAGGCCTCTCCTCTAGAGCGTGTCTTCAGATGCGCCATGTCCTTGGAGGGCAGGGACAGCTCCACCACCTCATGCCATGGACTGTGTCTAGTACACAGCTGACCTAAGGAAAGTGACCAGTCTTGACACTGATACCTTAACGATTGAGGTTGTTCTCATGTTTGACAGGAAAGTTAATTAGAGGACACAGGCATCCATTCCCATGAACACATTCACATAGCAAATATGGATTCCTCCCGCCCTCCATGCCTTACAGATCCTAAATAATTCTAAAGAAGCCAACTTCTGCATCACATAGGTCTTTGAGACTGAGATTCATCATGTAGCCTCGGCTAGCCTCAAACTAATGTCCCTCCGCCTTTGCTTCTTCAGTGCTGGTATCACAGGAGGGTGTTAACATGCCCAGGCCCTGAAGGGCTTTGGAAATTTCTGCTGTAGATTAGTGGGGAACCCAGGTTTTCATGGAGGGTTAGGGATGGAGGCTGTCAGCTGGGAGCTGGAAGTCCTCTAGATTGTGCAGTGGCTGACAGCAACCAGACCTGGGCTGCCAGGATGTTGTCTCTGCCCTCATGTTCTCATTCACTCTAATTTAGTGCTGAAGTTTCTGGAGGCAAAGCAGGGCATATACGGTATGTGGAGATGTAAACTGCTGCCCCTTCCACTCCTCAGTCAGTACAGAGTTGCTCCTCAGCCACAACCTTGGAGGACTCTTGCCTCTGCTTCTATGAAATGGGCTGCAATCCTCTTAGGGATTTAAAGGGGACCAGGCACCTTGATTGAGAGCCACACACAGGAGGCAGCCTTAGTCTCCAGGAGCATGTTGGAGATCAAACCCCATGCTCTTGTGGATACTGAGCTCGCTTTATCAGTTGTCACTGATCCAAACGCTTTCCCAGGGCCAGTGGCTGAAGCAGCGCTATTCAACATGTAATGCTGAGTCAACATGTGAGTCAAAGCAGGGCTGTTCTTGGTGGTCCTGCCAGGATTGATCCCTGTCATCCAAACCCCAGGAGAGCCTCAGTCATATACCTGGGTGGTACCAGCCACTGTGTGCCAGCCTGGGTGTTTTCAGCACAGTGTAACAGTGACCCTTGAGGGAGTGTAGGTGCTCGTAAGGCCCTTTGGTAGAATAGAAACTGCTTAGCAGTGAACTTGCCTTGTTCCTGGCCTGGCCAGTGTCTAGTCGTCTGGAATGCAGGTGTGGGGCAAGAGGAATAGGTACACTGTTTGCACTGTGTTTAATTCGAGGTTTGGCCCTGAGAATGGTCCTCTCTCCAATATTAATTGAGGCATTTCTTGCTACTTTAACTCTATCATCCATTGATTTTTGATTTTTCACATTTATTTGTTTGTTTATTATGTGTGTGTACATGTACATCATGGCATGTATGTGGAGGTTGGGTGACAGTTTGGGGGACTTGGTTCTCTCCTCCTACCTTATAAGTTCTGAGTATTGAACTCAGTATCAGGCTTGGCTATAAGTAACTCTACCCTCTGAGCTATCTCACCAGCCTCAGACCTTTTTTTTTTTTTTTTTTTTTTTTTTTTTGAGACATAGTTTCTATATAGCTCAGGCTAGCCTTGAATTCACTATGTAGCTTAGGCTGGCCTCCAGCTCCTGGTGATCCTGGCAATGCTAGCAACCTACCTGCTGCAGCTTCCTTAGTACTGGGCTTACAGATAGGGGTAGGCCACCACTCCTGGCATATTTATTTGTTTTTGTAGTACTGGAATTTGGACCTAGGGTCAAATACTAAGTGAGCTTACCACTGGGCAATATCCTGAGCCTATAGTTTTTATTAATTATGATAAAATTTACATAATGTAAATTTTATTAGCTTAACTTTTGAGGAGGGGTGTTGGGTATTGAACCTGGGGATTCACACGTACATACTGAGCACTTCCAGCACATTTACTACTGTGTGTGTGTGTGTGTGTGTGTGTGTGTGTGTGTGTGTGTGTATACTCTCAAGTGTGTGTACATATATGTGCTCATGCATATGGAAGCCAGAGGCCAAACTCAAGTATGGTTCTTTAGGTGCCATTTACCTTGTTTCTTGAGACAAGGTCTCTTGGTGGCCTGGAACTTGCAGATTCAGGGCATCCAGAGAACCTCAGGGATCCACCTGTCTCTCCTTCCCCTGCACTGGGGTAACAAGAATACACCACTCTACTCACTTTTGTTTCTTTTCAAGTTTATTTTTAGTTGTGTGTGTGTGTGTGTGTGTGTGTGTGTGTGTGTGTGTGTGTGTGTTTTAGTGTGTATAATATATGTGGGTGTGAGTGCAAGTACCTACAGAGGCCAAAAAAGCCTTTTAGATCCCCTGGAATTGGAGTTACAGGCAGTTATGAGCTGCCCAGTGTGGGTGCTGGGGACCAAACTTGGGTCCTCTGGAAGAGCAGTGTGCACTCTTACTTAACCTTGGAGTCATCTCTTCAGCTACATTTTTTTTTCTTTTTTTCATCATGGGTTCTAGAGATCAACCTTAGGTCTCTGTGTTCACAAGGCAAATTCTTTATTGATGAGATATCTCTCCAGTCCCAGTTAACCACTTAAGAAAACAGTTTGTTTTTTTAAAGACTTATTTATGTATACAGTGCTCTATCTGCATGTACAACTTATAGACTGCTATGAGCCACCATGTGGTTGCTGGGAATTGAACTCAGGACCTCTGGAACAGCTGCCATGCTCTTAACCACTGAGCAACTGTCTCTCCAGCCCACAAGAAAACATTTTTAAAAATGTATGTGTACATGTATATGTGTGTATGCTATATGTGTGCAGCTATTCAGAGAGGCCCGAAGAAGGTGTTGGACCTTGTGGAGCTAAGTTACAAGTGGTTGTGAGCTGTCAGACATGGGTGCTGAGGATAGTATTTCTGGAAGAACAGTGCACACCCTTGACTGCTGAGCCATCTCTTTAGCACCCCATTAGCCACTTTTGAGTGTGCAGCTCTGTGGCACTTAGTACCCTCACATGGCTGCGCATCCATCACTGTCTGTCTCTCATACTGTCATTTTATTACACAGCTGCGCGTGTTTATGGAGCACAAAATTTTTGCTGTTTGCATATGGTATGATAATTGGATCAAGCTAATGAACATATCCAAATTTTCCATCATGCAAGACACATCCCTCTACTTCTGATAGTAACTCCCGGCACCCCCTCCACTGCTCTATCCCCGCAGGGATATGGTCACCACTGTAATCTCTTCCACTCATCTATCAGCTTGGCAGGCAGGCTGGGGAGCGGGGGGACTGCTGCGGGGAGGATGCCCTCGGGACTGTTGCATTCCTTTTTCAGGCTCCTATGTTTCCAGAGGAAAAACCCAGTACCCAGAAGGCCCCAGACCAGGAGGGAGGAAGGAATGGAGAAGATTCCTTGCATTCCCAGGCTGCCTGGGCTGCAGACAAATTGGAGAGTGTATGGGGAGGCTAGACCCTTGGGACCTGTCCCCGAGGTCCCTTTCCCCCCAAGCTGTCTGGCTTCTGTCTGTCTGTCTTTACTAATGTTCAGCTGCCTGTTCCAGGTCCTAAGGAGACCAAGGAGAGTCAGATCATTGATGTCCAGACCTGGGTGGGCTGTTCAGAGTAGGGAGCCTTCCAGGCCTTCCTCAGAAGGAAAAAGTGCCCCTGTGAGCACACACTCACCCATATATACGCCGTAGCACATCTTCTTCCTCCATCCTCTGGACCAGGTCCTTCCCCACAACCCATGAGCACATCTAAGTTCCTCCCTCCTGTTCCTTTTCCTGCCATAGGTCACATAACCATCCGGCTAGAAAGCAGAATGCCTGGTGGCTGTGGTTCAGAAAGTCACTGCCAGTGGAGGACGGAGGGGCCTCCTCTTCTAAGCCATGGCCTTGCATGTACCTCCTCAATGTTAGTCGGTTTTTGAGGGGCATGGCCCCATAGGATGTACCCAGCCCCATCACAACGTAACTCCTGTACTGCTAGGGCCCATGCCTCTTCCTTAGGAAGCCTGCTTTCCCTGCTTGATGGCTGTCTTCTCTCCTCCATCCTTTCCCTCTCACCACTAGAGCTCAGCTTTGTAGTCCTCTGCCCAAGACCTCTCCATGTTTGCCCTGAGTGTGGAATATTGTTCAGTTCCTTCAGTTCAGTGGCCTCAACGCTGCCCCTGAACCCCAGGCTCCTACAGGTCTCCCTGAAGGTTACTAGATTCCACCACCCACCTTCTCTTGAA